AACGCAATTCGTAAATGAAGGAAGCCACAACAGTGGCATGCGACGAGCGAAAACCAAAAACCAAAAACTCAGACGCAAATTGTTGCATGAATTAATGAATGACCATGCTTCTCGCGTATTAAAAGGAATTTCATGTTTTCATTACAACAATAAGAGTATAAACATTACATGAATGTGCAGCAGAAGAATAACTAGTACTAGTTATCTATTAGGCACAGCTGCATTACCTAAACTATTGATTTGTTAATTTGGAATTTGAAACTAAAAACCAAAAGATGAAAGTCAGAAAATTAGGTCTTATCGAAATTTTAATAATTAAATGTAAGTATTTTGTATTATAGAAATAGTACTTAAAGTGGGAACACTTTTGGAGGATTGAGAATAGTTTCACTGTAATTAAAATTTAAGTGGGAAAAGTTTTCATAGGTCTATTTGCGGAGAAAGAAAGTGTAAAGTAAGAATTTAGGAAAAACTGTAACCCTGTCTTTCGTAAAAGAAACAAAAAAAAAAAAAAATATGTCTTAGGGAACAGTTTCAAAACGATAAAACGCATTTAATAAAATCTTAAAAATATAATTTTCAGTGATATATATATATTTCGCCAATTTCGAATGTTGAATCAAAGTCTATTAGGGAAAAATCTTTCCAAAGTGAGAACAGCTTAACTTATTTTAAAATTAAAAATATAAATATCTTACAACTATTTTCAAGATTTCTATAAATGGTTACCTCCGGAAAAAATCTTCAGTTCCTACAAGCGGACTGTACTTACATGTGCCTAAATCTATACGTAAATTGGGAACAGTTTTATATTCGATTGCTTTGTTCAAATGAGAAATACTCTGCGCAAAGGAAGAACTTGATGCATCAAACCTACTCTTAAACAGAAATACACATATGTACATACGAGTACACTTGTATACGCACATATGAATGTACATTTTGGTGGCTTAAATAGATTTTAAATCGGGGAATATTTGTAAAATAACGCAAAAACTAATATTTTGTAGTAAAAACAAAATTCATTTAATTTCTATGTCAAAAAATGTGTATGAAGTGTTTATATTTTAATTTCTACACTATTATATACGTGGGAACAGTTTTTTTTTGGTAGCGGATATATAGCAGAATGATAAAATTTGCTTGTCTCTATACCAACGAATTTTATGTTTTAGAATTTTATTTAAGTATATATACATGTATGTTCATTTAACCATTTAATTTAATCTTTTCATTTCATTTTATCTTTCATTAATTTGTTTTTTTTTTTTCAACTAAATATAAAAACACAGATTTGCATGTAGTAATTCCCATCAAGAGTTATTATGGTTCATAACTCGAGGCTACAAATATTTTCTAACGCACACCCACGCACACCAATGGCGCCATTGGCCATAAACGTGACCGACCGAACTAAAGGCAAGCTTAAAAAAATTGAACAAAAAAATAAAAATAAAAAATAAAATAAAAGAAAAATTAAACAAATAAATAAAAAGAAATTGTCATAATAAACATTAAAAACGCAGTAGTCACTGCATTTCAATTTTTTCTTTATATAAATAAATCGAAATTAAACAAACTTCTACATAACGATGAAAACAATAATAATAATAAAAAATTGAAAACGTACATAAATATATACATACATTTTGTCTATATGACATTACACATAAATATGTATGTTTAGCATTTCAATATACATACGTATACGTAACTGTATCTCGTGCGTGTAGCTATTTTTAGTAGGAAAAATATCATGCATTTTTGTGCATACATACAGACATACATATGTATATAATTCAATTACCGCCAATGTGTTTTTATTATTATTTCTGTGACTTTATTTTTAGAGTAAATATTTCTACATAAAGCCACATACACATATATGTACATAGCTACATATTCACATAAAAAACAGGTAAACCGGCGAGCGCGGCAGCCCAATGGCTACAATTGCGTACTGCCACAGGCCAGAGTTCAAATCCTGCCTCGACCAACATCTGTTACAGAAAATTAATTTAAATAAAAAATTAAGATAAATTTTCTAATTGCGGTCGACCTCAGGCAGGGAATGTCAACCCCTTCTGAGTGTATTTTTGACATGAAAGCTGTTCGGAGGCGGCTTAGTATAAACTGTAAGTCCTTCCATTTGTTGGAAAAATATCAAAACGCAAAATCATAAATTGAAGAAGGAGCTCGGCCGAAAATCGTTTCAGCGCTTACAAAGCGCCAATTAGAAGAAATTGAAATTTGAAGCTTCAATGAAAAAGAGAATAACAAAAATTAAGCTGAAATTAATGCTTATGTACATACATATGTATGTGCGAATGTGTGTAAAAAATTCAAGTGAAATTGATTTGAAAATATTTTCGTTTTTGATTTACATCAATATTTTTACAAATGTCTTACGTACACACATATGTTCATGCTTACATACTAGATGTCGTCATATCTGTAGATGCAAATGCCTATTGATATGCTGTTCACACCATAAACTTTTGCGAAGCCCACCGAGTGCTCAATTTTTCCGCCCAAACTTCCACGCGTTTCCTTTTAATGAAAAAAAAAATTTGTTTATTCCCAAAATAGTATATTTTGAGTGAATTTGATATTTAAAAATGTAATTGGACATCAAAAAAAATTTCAACAGAAAAGAGAGCTGCTTAAATTAAAAAGAATATATATATATATACATATATATCTATTCTAAGCGGATCTTGTATATTACAGTGTAAATAATCTTTAAATAAAATAATTTATGTCAAAAAAATTAATGATTTTTTCATATTGGAAATATCATACGCATTTCCTTCAGACCCTCAGGAATGTATAAAAGTTGAAAGTGAAATTTTTTGAGTGAAGTTTAGTTGAGCGAAATTAAATCTGGGTCGAGTGAAGTCTATTTGTGTTGGTTTCAGTTAATTTAACTCAAATTAAGTAAAATGAAGTTGATTTAAACTTGTTTTGTTTCATTTGATACTTCTCCATCTTCTTTTAAGTTGTTTTGAGATTGTTTAAATTTAGTCGAGTTTTCTTAGGGTTGATTATTAGCAAGAAAAATATGTCAAGAAACACATTATTACCGATTTTTCTCTTGAGTCTCATTAGAACGTCTTTTCTGGACCATAACTGCTCAAAATCAACTTAAATAGAGAGTTTTATGTCCCGTGCGACAGCATCAAAATAGAACTTATGTGGGCTAAAATACAACATATAAACCAAATTTCATAGTTTTTATTGTCAAATATTTTGAAAAAGCTGGATTATAATCCATTGCCATCAGTTTTGCTGTTAATATTTTTTATTATTATTATTTTTTAATTTAAAAATTATTGGTGTAATTTGTTTTCTTCTATCTGTAAAATAAATGTAATGTGTTATAACGGCTTCGGTATGCGCAGTTGGCTCAAAATATAGTATCGAAAACATTATTTTCCAAAAAAAAAAAAAAAAAAAAAAAAAAAAAAAAAAAAAAATATTTATGTGTGTACATTTGTATTTTTTTTTTTTTTTTTTTTTTTGAGAATTCACGCAATTTCAGCGTTTCTTCTTTAATTTAGGGTCTTTTATCCATGACTTTTAACACACCTTTGCGTAAAATCATTTTCCATGGGACGCAACTTGTCTCCTCCTGAACCCACATTTGGTTTTCACTTTTCTTATTGCACTTCATAATTCCAGTTCTCCCTTTCGAGCAAGGTATTCAACATATTTCACAACTCTAAAGTAATGAAAGTAGGTGTGTATGTATATGTGTCACTATGAAAATATTTATGCGTCATTGGAGCTAAGCGTATTGTTCTCATTGCGGGGCTCTTTTTTTATTTTTTGTTTTTGGTTTTTTTTTTTTGTAGCATTTTGTTTTTATTATGCCAAATGACATCGATGCTACGATATTGATAGCTGGAAAAACATATTGTGGCTTTTTATTACAAAACACTACAAAAACAACATTTATAACATAACAATATATGTATGAATGTATTGTATGTGTGTATGCCTGTGATGTGATAGCAAAGCCCAAGGGGCGAATGCGAGTTGCAATGCGCATTTGTGGTCTAACTATGAACGCAAAGCGGAAAAATAATAACAGAAAATATTCATAGAAAATGAGTATGTATTTCTACTACTACATGCAACTGAATGCGTGAGTGTGTAAGTCGTCAAACAGCTCGTCCTCGATATTATTGCTATTGTTGTTATTATTAATATTGCAATTCAATTTACCTAATGGACTTTAACACTTTGTGGTCGCGTAGAGTCGCACTAAAATAAGGCACACACACTCACAGGCATACACTGGTGAGCGAATATAGCTACACTTGTGCCGCATTTAAACCAACATTTCACGACTTTTATGCCACCACACATACATAGATACGGAGATATTTATGCCTTTATGATACCTGCTAATTTTAGTTATTTTCAACGCTTCACTGTCTTTTACGCATTTAACGGACATTATGTCATATTTTCAATATATATTTTATTATTTGTAGTTAAGCTGCTAGTTTCAGCTTTCGGCGACAAAAAATACTTCAATTATGATTGCCTTTGTTGTTAAAAAAAAAATTATATCTAATGCCGCTAATGACAACTTTTATTATTTTTTTTTTGTTAGTAATGTTTATGGTCAATGTGTGGCGCGGAATTTTTAATTAACAACACACAATTGAATTATATACTCATACATACGTACATATATACATAGTGTACATACATAAGTTAGCTTATGCTTAAGCATACGTGAAGTGCTTTTATGCATTTACAAAACTCATTATCTTTTGAGTTCAACTAAACAGCTAAATGACCAAAGTCATCTGAAATTCCAGTCATTTAATTAATTAAGTAATTAATTGCATTTTTAGTGGTCTTTTTTGGTAATAATAAATTAAAATGATATTTAATAATAATAATTAAAATAACTTTATTATTATAATGAATTTGTACATGTATATAAATTTTATATTAATTTATTCGTTCGCCTTTTCTCATTTAAGGCCCTCTCTCGGAGGTACAAACAGCCATCGGCTTGGAGGTGGCACTACCATGTGACCTCATGCCTGGCACAATGACCGCTGATAAAGTACAATTGGTCATTTGGTATCGGCAGGGCAATGTGAAGCCAATTTATACGTAAGTATATGGATAAAAATAAAGTTTACTAAATCACTGATTCAATGGTATATGAAAATGTAGGTAAAATATGAGCCGAAGATTTAATTGGAAATTAATTGAAAGCCTAGCTTTAGGCGCATTATATATTTATGAGCACGGTCAGATCTTTGGGTTTGTTGTGAGCTTTTGTCTTTGTAAGAATTTCCAACTTTACATAAAATATGTTGTTAAAAATTAAATGGTAAAAATGAGAAATTAAAATAAACTTACCTTCGTGGATTTGAAGGTAGAAAATAATGAATCTAGAAAATAATACTAAAATTATACCTAATGCACAGAACATTTATGTTCACTTAAATGTATGTACTAAAGAGCATGCAACAATATCTTAAATATATACTTTCTTTAATTTATAAACTTATTAACTAATTAGTTAAATTTTTTTTTGAATTTTTTTTATAAATTAATATTTCTACGCAAAAGCTGGAAAATGAACTAAAAATGTGTTATAATTTATAACAATTATATATCTTTCAATTAATTTTTAAATTGGATAATAAACACGTTGCAAAAAGAATTAATATCGAAAATTCATTACCGTTACTTAAAACGTTGAACTCAATACAATTTTTTAAATATACAAACCAAAATAATAAAAAAACTCTTTATCCAAAAATATCCATTCCTTTTACCAAAAAAAAAAATGAAATATTAATAATAACTTCGAAATAAGCACTTGGATTTATCATTAGGAAAGCCAGGCGGAGAGTTAATCGACCCAAATTGGCACTTTGGAAAGTAATAAATCTATGAAATCCATAAAATATATATAAATAAACAAGGGCAAAAGGGAGCAGCTCTTTTCTTTGGAGCGAACCACGTCACCCGCCGTTATAGATATATGCACATAGTACGTATGTACATAATAATGGATCATAAATCTCCATAGTTCATAGAAGCATTCACAAAAGCCCATTTATAGGCAGACACACAAGTCAAGCCAAATTAAACCGCAACGGCAAATCAAATGTAATGCAAATGCAGAAATGTATATGCGTGTATGTACATACATACATATATAATCAATTATACATACATATGTATATATGATATCTTAAATACACCACAAACATGCTTAAGCAAATTGGAAATGATGAATGTGCAACTCATTTAATGCACGAATTGCATACGAAATGGCGTGTGACTTGAAATGTTATAAGTACTTACATTCAAATATAAATATGTATGTACATACTATTTGTGCATGTGTAGAATTGGGGTAACATTTAAAAATTGGCTTTTCATTATTTTTTTTTTTATTTTTTTTTTTTTTTTGCTAGGAAATTATGAATGCTCTGGCTTTGATAGCTTAAATGCTGTAAAATTTTTATGTTATTAAAAAGTAAATATTTTCATATTTTTTCATTTTGTTTAAGTTAAGCCGCAGGGGAGTATATAATATCTATGTGTGTGTGCAACAGACAGTAATACCGTTAACTAGCGCAGCGCACAGATTAACGCCACTGGCGTTCGACAGCTACTAGTTGCATTTGAATGCAGGGATTTTTCAATTTTTTATTTTAACGCAACGCAAGGCACTAAATAACGGTATAGTAATGAATGAATGAATGCTATGTGCTAACAAGGCAATTAATAAATATTTGTTTATAATTTTGAATAGTTTTTCATATACAATAAATCTATATGCATACATACACAAACATTTGGCTGATGATCTCTGGCATATTTATTTATATTTGTACGTAAAATATTAAATTATTTCTATACGTACATGGCAGAACCCCTTTTTCAAATGCACAATCTATTGTATTACCAATTTATAATGAATTAGAGTTTTTTAAATAGAAGTAAACAAGTAATTAAATTAATATAAAATCAAATAAAATAAAAAATAAGTAAAGTGAAATACAAAAGAAAAATTAAATAAAACATAATAAAATAGACTAAAATTAAAATTAAAACTGAATCAATTAAAAAAAAATAAACAAAATTAGCAAAGTATAAATAAAATAAAATAAAAATAAAAATAAAAATAAAAATAAAAATAAAAATAAAAATAAAATTTAATAAAATAAATTAAAAACTGAACATACAATACAATGAATTAAATTAAAACTTAATTAAGAAATAAACTAAAACCCTTAAATTTTAAAAGTAAATAAATAAAACTAATCAAAATTAGAAAAGTAAAATAAGATTAAATAATAGTAAAAATAAATAAAAATGGTTGCTCAAAAATTATATTTAAATAAAATCGAAGAGATTTTCATTGTCCACCGTACAAAGAATATATTTATATATATACCTCTACAATGCATAAATATGAAGTAAAAACTGTTACTGCTTGGCGCGTAATGTTTGAAAAAAATCTGATTGAGGTCATTTGAACATTTTTTTTACTCTCTGACTGATTGCATTTTTGATGACACAGTTAATAAGTTAGTGGATTAGGGGTCAAACAGCAGGGTCAGTTGATAATCAATGAAATGTAATAAAGTGAGGAAAGTAAAAGGATATAAACACACATGTAAAATAAAATGAAAGTAAAAAGATAAGCTTTGACAAATATACGCCAGAATAAAAATCAAAAATAATATAAAATAAAAATAAAAATGAAATAATAAATGGAAATGAAAACGTGTAAATAATTAAAAAAGAGTTTGAACTGAATAAAATATAATACAATGAAAAGCGTTAGCAAATAAGCAAAAATATAATAATAATTAATAAAAAAATATAAGACATCAGTAAATAAAAGCAAAAATAAAAAAACAGGCTTTGCAGGCGCTTGTAGCATAATACCCACATAAGGTGCACACACAAGCCTGGGCAAGCGGAAGCTACATTACCTTCCTACACTTCCTTCCGCTTTTGCACTCGAAACGTTTTTGTGGATTTTTTTGTTTACAACTGCATTTATTTTCTTTTAAGTGCTCCATCTTGACACAGAAAATTGGATTCGTTTTCTATTTTTTTTTTTTTGCTATTTTTTATGGGTTTTGTTACATAACACTTGAATTTAAATTACTGCAGGCCACCCAAGCGACAACAACACCAGCAAAGAGTATGTAGTTATGGCGGAAAACTGTTTGATTTTTAGCCATCCGTCCAATGTCGTTATTTATTTATTCAGTTATTTGCCGCAACAAAAGTAATTTGTTTTCCAGCCCATAAATCATTTCAAGTGTATGCCTTGCCTAATAGAAGTGGAAGAAGTAGAAGAAGATGAAGAGTAAGAAAGAAGCAATGAAAAAAAAACAATAAAAAACTGTGGTCTGCGCTCAAAAACAATAAGTTGTATCACGCATGTTAATCGTTATTGGTAAAGTTTTATTTTCGGTCGACTTTCTTCGACGCCTCGTCCTTTTTTTTTTAGAATTTTTATGCTTCGAGCAACATGGAAATGAAATTTATTTGAATTGTAGTTTTGAAAATTCCGCAAGGCCAACAAAAGAAAACCGCAGCTGTTTACACTTCAGCGCGCGCATTTTACGGTAATGTTGAATTTTCTTCATTTCAAATCTAATTTTTTTTTTCTCAAAACAAAAGGTCATAACTTTGACGATTTTCCACACCCCACACACTGAGTAACTAATGTCAGGAAAAAATATATTTTTGTTTGTGTTTGTTGTGGCTGTGTTTTTCTAGGCTCTACTAGTAAAACAACAACTTAATTCCCACGTGTCAAATAAAATTCGTGAATAATGTGCTAGTAATGGTCACTGGTGGGCGGCTCTTAAAAGCCCAAAGAAATTTGGCAACTTACAATGGAGTAAAAATAGGAAATTACAAAAGCAAAACTACTTTAAAAAATATTAAAGCTTAAAAAAATTTAAAGGTGTAATTTATTCCTTTTATAAGCAATAGAATTCTACTTTTTTTAATAGTAAATTATCGACAAACAATGACAATTTTTTCGAAATAAAATTTACAATATCTACCCTTTCCTTCACACTTATTTTATTCCTCTCTCCGAAAATCGACAAAATCCTTTATTTAAACTCATAAAATCCACCAGCAAACGGAAAATATATTCCAGAGTGTCATTCAGACTAAACCAAGTTTGCACTTTGCCATCGATAAATTTTATTTAATACTTGTAATTTGATTTCACACCTCCCTCTGCAGCTGGTGATGGTTAACCGATACTTAGGGCTTGTTGTTGTACACTTATATATGTACGTGTATATTTATTTTGTCACTTAAACGCCAGCGACGCGACCAAAAGTGCGGATGAAACCCATTATGGCGCACTAAGGTAAGTAAATCTGGCCACTAAAAAGAATGAATGAATATATACGTAAACGAAAAACAATAAAAAAGAACAATATATATAACAACAGCAACAACAACAATAAACGCAACTGAACATCAAGTGAAGCAAGTAAAGTAAATAAAAGAGACAACTTCTCCATCAACAGCACAATATGGATATCCGGGATGAAATTTGGCGGAAGATGACGATGAAGAAGAAGAATCTGCACATCGAGCCATCGATGATAATAAAAAAAAAAAAAACAACTGAAAAAAGAAGAATGCAATTGAAATAATAAAAAACTGATGAAAGAAGAAAAATTAAAAGTGAGATGGAGCGTAAAAGTAAATACATACTTGGTTGTTTGTATGTAGGTGTTGGTAGTGGAGTATGTGCGTCAGATTGGCATAAAAGTGCGTGGAGAAGAAAATCGCACTTTCGAGCAATTACAGCGGAAAGGAAGTCTACAAAAATGTATACAAAAAGACGGACAACGGTGAAGCGTAAGAAATTCGCGTGCCTTGCTTACGTGGCTTGGCTACTTGGACTGGGCGGCAGCAGCTGTAGAAATAAATTTTTTCTTATGTTTTATGTTGTAAATGTTGCCAACTTACAAGTTTCCGCCCCCACATGCTTATGTATATATGTATGCTGCAGCATATTTTATTGGCTTCTTTGATTTTTGCCGAGCTTACGCGTAAAAGCGTTCTTTACAAAAGTTTTTCGGCAGAAATAAAAATCA